CCCCAAAACCCCAAAACCCCAAAACCCCAAAACCCCAAAACCCCGGACGAATTTTAGGGGGTTGAAATTTATTGCTAGTAGGGCTTTTTGCCAGGGGAATATCTGTTCACGTCTCTGTTTGGGAATGTCATGTTTTCGAGAGTAGCGTTCTTTTCGGCCAGGATTGTTTCGAGTTGAGCGATTTCTTGTGCAAATCTGGTGCTTTCGTGCTTTAGTTCAGTCTCGACTGCTTCGCACCTTGCTCTAGCTTTTTGGAGATGAACTTCGTGCTCAATTTTATCCTCTTCATAGTCATCTATCTTAGACTTTTGAGCGTTCTGGGTCATACGTTCTCCATTGAGTTCAATAAGAAGATGCTCTAATTGGTAAACTTCTTTTCTTAGTCTTTCTAGCTCTGAATTCTCATGCATTTCTCCGAATGAGAGTTCTTTTACCTTTACTTGAAGTCTCTTGATATCGTCTTTGAGATATTCAAGTTCTGAGGCTCCATCTTCAGCTCTTTTATTATCAATGATGATTTTCTCGTATATTTTCTGAAGTTTCGAAATGATTACTTCTTGCTTTTTGATAGTGTCATTGTACACACTTGCCTTTTTAAGCTCGCTTTGTTGCTGAAGTAGCCTTTCAGCTTTGTCAGAATGATCTTTTTCATACAATAGAAGCTTTTCTTCCATCTTCTTTCTCTCAGATAGATGTACATGAGCTTTACGTAGCTTGGTTTCATAGTCGTTGTTTCTCATTTTCTCAGTGTTATAGGCTTGGGCTAGTTTAAGAAGCTTATTTTTAACATCAGCGTAGTGCATATCCTTAATGTCTGCAGTGATCATACTCTTACTGTCAATTTCCTTCAAAGTTTCCACCTTCTTTGCAATATTAAAGTTCTCAACTTTAAGGAGCTTGAGCTGTTTACGGAGGTCAAGGACTTCCTTACCAGTTTCTCTCAACTTAAGGGATCTTTCATTATTATCTTTCATGATTCTATGGATTAGCTCTTGCTTTTGAGCAACATCTTTTGAAAGTAACTGCCATCTATCTTTTTCATCGTAGATATCTAAGTGATCTGGCCTTCTGACTTTTCGGGATCTTACTCTGCTTTGACCTCTTGTGTCTAGGATAAGCTTGTCTACTACCTCAATTGGGTGGCAAGAGACGTCAATTTTGCACTTTGACATAACAAGATGTTTCACAATGGTTAAGTCAGGGAAATAATTAACTGGGAAGGTGTAATAGTCATGGTCTGTAGAATACAAACTTCTTCTCAGTTCTTGGTCAGCTATATCAGTTGTCCCAACTACAAGGTTAGGCATTCCATGTGTTGATACTTTATTATCATCTTTGACAACCACAAAGAACCGAACATTTTTATCAAGGTACGATTTTGGGACAAGGAAATATCATAATGAGCTGAATTTATTCTTAATTGGATCTGGTGGCATTCTATACCAAGGGCTGATGAACATCTCGTTGCTAAAATCATTCGTAAATTTGAATGCTCTTGCAATCGCTTGTTCTTCACGAAGATCAACTTTGATGAAGGGGTCATTCTCTGGAGCTTTATCGTCGGTTGTCATGATAACTCAGAAGTTCCTCGTTTTTAGAGGAAGAGGATCGAAGTCGATCCATCTAAGGGCAACTGTGCAAGGCGTGTCAACAAAACTTTCAATCTCTTCTTCTAAAGTTAGAGAGATGAACAGAGTAGGTTGGGAAGCAAAATCATTTGGCTCTCATTGGATCTGCAAGTGTGCTGGCTTGAATTGCTGGAAGAATTTCATTGGGATGTAAAAATATTCGAATGGATTTTAATTATTATCTCTGTCATAGAGAGTAATCCAAAAGAACCCATCTCTTTCTGTACTTTGAGCAGGGTTATGGTATAATAGCTGCTGATTCCAGTGAGGATGTCTCTCTTGAGGTATGAGCAGAGAAAGCATTCTGTCCTCTGCAGAAGGATTTGTATGAGCATCCTTAGACCATCCAAATTCCGCATAACAAGAAGGAAGTTTGGTTGCATTTGCTATATTCATTGGAGCATCAATTCAACATCTCAAATCAATCCGAAGTCTCCATACATAATCTTCTTTTTCAGGTGGCATATGATGGACCATGCTAGTTGCTTCGATTGGTTCATCAATAGCTCCATTAAAGTAGGATCCTTCCTGCCCTCTGGCCTTTGAGTAATCATTTTCGATAGAAATTGTAATGTTGAATCGTCCAACTTGGAGCTCCTCTCCTTGATGGTGTTTAGTAAATGAGAGAGATTGCTTTACTCCTAAATTATCAGGAGAGTTGATCAATGTGGCTAATTGACCTAAATCTAACACTGTTTCTCCAACTCATTTAGCTTCATTTTTGTAATTATACTTATTTTTAATGATCATATAAAGGCCGAATACACATCTCTGCCACATTTCGATCTTTCCTGTAGGAAGAGGAAAGGTAAAATTATTAGATATGAACAATGGATTAGTCAGCTCATCAGATAGCTCAGTTCTCTTCTTCTCATTATATTCATCTAACTGTCATGTGATGTAGTACTTGGCAGCACTAAGGAACTCACAAGACTCGATTCTAAAGTTTAATGTTTTGTTTCCTCCAGTTGTGAAGTCCTCTCTCCTCTGTTGATCAAGGCCAAGCATCTCATCGAACCGGTCACTTGCTTCCATGATTAATATTTTCAATATTGTTTCTATATTTCGGGGTTTTGGGGTTTTGGGGTTTTGGGGTTTTGGGG